AAAATCAAACAGTAATATCATCCCAAGTCATTACAATCAATCCCTAACACATAGAACTAGGGTTCTTCATCCCCAAGTGAGAGAGAGGTTCTACTCCATAGAGAGAGAGAGGAAAACAGTAATCGGAGTAGTCATACTCATAAAGATGAGGAAAATCTGCTCCGGGATGATGATTTCCACTCCTAGGACGATCTCCAAGCTTGATTTGATGAAACCCAGCTCCAAGATGGCTACTAGGGTGAGTTCTTCGCCCTTTCTCTCTCTAAAACTCTGTTTTTGCTCAAAAAGTCCGATTCCCTCAATTCTGGCTCGAAATTGGCTGAAAAACCAAGATTTCCCGACTCACACGGGCAGGCCACACGGCCGTGTGGCTCACCACTTTGCCCGTGCGAGTCGAAACGTAGCGTATGGATTAGTTCGAACTTAGGCTTCCCACACGGCCAGAATTGTGAGTTGCACGGCCGTGCGGGGTCTCCATCCTGCCCGTGCATGCGCTCGACAATAACCACACGGCCACAATTGTGTGTTGCACGGCCGTGTGGTTTCCAGGACTGCTCGTGCAGCTTCCTTAGCACCTCGCCACGCGTCCGATTCTCGTACAATCGACCCCAAACTCGCTCCCAAGCCTCCATTCACGTACTAGGACCTGAAATATGACAAACAAGCACAACCTAGCGTGAAATCAGTCTAAAACACGAGAAATCACATCTCAAACGGTGTAAGAACAGGGGTAAAAACATGTGTAAATAACGGTCTATCAAGCGTCAAGGGGTGGAAAGTTTCAAAGGATAGGGTTATGTATATTTTTTTCATTGTTGGATTGTGTGTGGGTTACGTTTTTTAATAGGGGGCCTGATTAGCTTTTATTGATCAATAGCTGAGGTTACATTGTCCTTTAGAAGCTGATCAACAAGAAAGATCGGGGGTCTGTCGAACCAAACCACCATCTCGTTCCATCTGGACTTCGCGTGTGTCGCTATGTGGGCGGCCTCATTTCCTTCCCTACGAACATAATTCCAGCTTCCGCGGTTCAATCCATCGAGCTTCCGTCGTATGCTTCCACATATTATGCATGTCTCAGACCGATCTTCCACTATGGTGCTAAGATTCAAAGAGGGATAGATTGTCAATTTCAAGGGTAAAATTACCTCCACTACACTTTTGCGCCAGCTGAACGCGGAGCTCGGCTGCCATTGCCTCAGCATACTCGACTTCAAGCTTACCAGGCATGCTTTTCGTTGCTGCCAACACAAACGTCCCCCCCCCCCCCCCCCACTTCCTCGAATAACCACTTCGAGGCTCGTTCCTTCATCTTGTAGATAAATAACTTTATAACAAGAAAATCATTCTCGTATAATGAAGGTGTGTCGCTCACAATTATTTGAGTGTGTCGGAAGCCCCATATTAAAAAAATTTGTACAGAAAATATATAAGTCATTCACAAAATTTATGAGCGAGGGTGTGTCGTCCGACACACCCTGGCCCTTACTAGGTCCGCCCCTGGTGTTAGCATAAACCAAGTCATTGAAGATGTAATAATAATAATAATAATAATAATAATAATAATAATAATAATAATTGTTGCCAGGACTTTATGTGAGACGGTTGTTCGGTCACCAAGTTGGAGTACAAGAGTGAAGTGCTCAGCTTGGTGTCCCGACCTACGGTTTTATACATATCTTTGCATCACTCAGTAAATTTGTATCTTCTCAAATATAGAGAAACTAGTCTCTTCTACCCGTTACGATGACAATTTCGATCTGACCTATTTTACCCAGTTTGTTTGACTTGTTTTGGGTGGGGCAATACTCGCCATGTAGGCGGGGCGGAGATGGCACATGGTCACTCTCCATGACCTGATTTGTCCTAATCCGTCTCATTCTTGATATGTTTTTGCTCAAATAACATATGACTTTAGTCAAACTACTTAGAATATTACTTTTATTATCTCATATTTTACCTATTTTAATGAAGTTGTAAATAAGTGAGAACCTCAATTTCTTGAATAACTTAATTGTATTTATCATATTATAGTTTGTTTATTGGTTTGTTAATAAAAATAAATATTTGTAATGTTTTATTTTTAAACTACATACCCATATAAATCGACGTGTCCCGGCTAGCACCCCATAATAAATTCTCTGACCTCGATTTGACCTGCCATAAAACGAATTTATCGAGAGTCTGGTCCCGGACATATGCCACATTATCATTCCTACTGCCATTGAATTAAGTAAGGGATCGTTTGGAGAATATGAGTTTAAATCTATAGATTGTCAACAATCTAAAGATTTTAACTCTTCGAATTGTTGAAAATAGATTTTAAAATATTTATTGTTTGGTAATTGTGATTGTTAACATTCAATAAAAAATTTAATTTTATATTAAATAACATTTTTATCCTTAACAAAAAATTAGAGTAGTTCGAGAAATATTAAAAACGTTGTTGATAAATATATTTAATATGATAAATAAATAAAAGAAAGAGAAAAAGTATGAGAAAAACAATTTCACAAGTCAAGATATAGAATCTCTCTGATTATGAGAGATTTAATATCTGTATTTTAGAGATTTGAAATCTCTAAAACTAAAATCCACAATACAAAAAGCAACAAAAAAAAACATAAATTTATACAAAATCTACGAATTTAATGAATTCATACTCTAAATTCCGTTTTCCAAACGACCTCTAAATTACATCATATTAGTAATCACATAATTCTATCCTTCTTACATTTTTTATTTGCGGTTTTCAGATACATAAAAATAAGTAAATAACAATAAATAAAATCAAATTTGGTGACACGCGTCTGACGGAAGATCAAGACCTACCTGCAACGCGACAAATAGGTTCTCGGTTGGAAATTGGAATGATTAACTTGCTGGAAGTATTTTCAATTCGCGGTGGACAAGGTTGTCAACCCGCGGGTTCACTCGGACCCGGTCAAACTAGTGGGTCAAGAATTAACGGGTCACCCGTTTTAGTCCGTTTCAGTCCGAAAATATGAAAAGAGTCATTATATTATACTTATCTTGATAAATTATATCAAATCTCATCTAACATATGAGTAATAACATATAACATTATACCAAAGTAACATATCGTATTTAGATCCAAGATATAGCGAAAATTCACACACACTTATATAACCTCAATATTCAAATGTTCGACTAAAGATTCCAAAGATTGAGTTAGGCGAATAGATAAATCGGAAAATGGGAGCATTTCGCAAACCAAAGAAAAAATTGACACAATTTGACCTCCAACACGATACCTTGTAGCGGTCGACCCGGCGGGTGCGTGCGGCCCGTTTTTTCTCATCGAGTCAGGGTCAAAGTGGGTCGACCCGCGGGTTGACAACCTTGGCGGTAGACTAACCGGTTGACCAATTTTGACACTGACCTAGTGAGAAAAATGACCGCGTATACTGTCGGGTGGATCTGTTGCAAGGTTATCAGGTTGGAGGTTAAACGATGATTTTTTCGTTGGTTTGTGAAATGCGCTTATTTTTCGTTTTCCTTTTCACCTAACCCTAACTTTGGAATTCTAAACTGAACATTAATATTTATCAATGTGTGTGAGTTTTCACACTATATGCTGGATCCAAGTAGAATATGTTATTTTGGTGTAATAATATATTTTATTACTCATATGTTAAATGAGATTTGATATAATTTATAAATATATAAACAATATAATGTTTTTTTTATACATCCAGATCAAAATAATTGGACCATTAACTCTCTAAGTCCCATACTCGGATCAGCGAGCTAAATCGGATTGATAACCTTGCCTGCTGGTCAAACAAGTAAAATATTCAATATTATATTAAATTTAGCTAGATCAATCTCTAGCTAAGGCCAACATCACTGCACTGTACTGTCCATAAACGAGACAAGAAAAAGGAATGAACTGGCAGTGGCGTTATTGTCATCGACGCCCTAATCCTTCCATTTGTCCCACCATAGCCGTTTAAACCACACCTTTATATACAGTAATTACAAATCTTACGCCCAATACTATATATAATCATTTTTCAGAAAAGCTGACGCGGAATTCTCTGTTCATAAATAATTTAAGGAAGGAATGATTAAACACATTTTCCCGACATTATCGTTGTGTTTCAGAAATCAAGGAAACTAGTTAGTAATATTATATAATAAATCTTCATAGGAGACGACGGACTTTTCTCAACATTTCTAAGTGATAATCAAGAAGAGGAAAGAAACGTGCCCATTGATCTATTCTCGTTTCTCTTTGTTTCAGAAAAATGATAGGTAGGCTTATAGGGTGATTCATTCCTACAAACTAACAAATAACAATGCATGGGAAGTTGCCGGGGAAGGTATGTATAGGTTTTTTCCATGTGATAAAATAGGTTGTGCAATCATATTGAAGATTGTACCGGATAAGTCAGTTACTATATACGAAAAATAATAGAGTACAATCGAAATTTGCAAAACTTACAGACCCTTGTTTCTTATCATCTCTTATACTAAACATACAACTATGAATCCTGATACGATCATATCTGTAGATGTATAAATCATTAACATTCAGACCATAATATATGTTGTGTCTAAATCGTAATTGAGTATTGAATTGTTTTACATCAGTGAAATCATATAATAATTAGAATACTAATGTGCAAATTTTCTGCTCGAATTATACTGTGCGATTCAGAAAACCATGAAGTAATTAACGAAGACAGAAGTGAGGAGAGAGAGAGAACTGATTCGTGTTAGCCGAGCAAGAGACATGACAAATTGGATTTTACATCATAAGTTAATTACATATACTCCAATTGGCCCCTCATAGGGAAAGCCGTCTGAAGTAACGACAAACACCCAACAAATTAAAACAGACTCATTCAATTCTCCAAAACTCATGAGGTCGAGGAGCAGAGCAAGAAGAAGAAGAAGTGGCAATTACCTCCATCTCTCCTTCGAAACCACAACTCTCTTATATATATATACCCACAACTTCATTCTCTTCCGAAACCATAACTCTTTTTTCTCGATCGGTTCAGAAAATATAATGGCGAAGCAGCAGCAGGCCAGCTCGGATTCGTCGAGCGATGATGAGCAACCAGGAAACGACGGCCACGTAGACGCCACCGTTTTGGCGCCGAAGGCGGTAGTGAAACGGTCGTACGAGTGCAGCTTCTGCAAGAGAGGGTTCACGAACGCGCAGGCGCTGGGCGGCCACATGAACATCCACCGCCGCGACCGCGCCAAGTCCACCAAACCCTCCTCCGCCTCCGCCGATCCAGCAGCTGCCTTCTCCAAGCAGCAGCGGATTATTTACGATTCTCCCTCGGTTTGGGAGGCTCATGGCCACGTGTTCTTCCAGAATCCGGGCAGCGGTGGGGCCGGGGGAGGGCATGGGAATATGATCATCAGTAATTCCGATATCGGACGGCCGTCGTCGTCCCACGTGGAGGCGCACGGTTACGAACTGGTGATCCCGCCCGCACACGGGTCCGGCCATCATGGGCCCGCCGAGGATGTGAGATGGGGTGCGAATTTGAGCCTTCGGGTCGGGTCGGGGCAGAAGCAGGAAGGTGGCGAAGAAGAAGAAGAAGAAGAAGAAGAACAAGAACAAGTGTTGAGCAAGAGGCCAATTTGGAACGGTAGCAGCAGCACTAGTGATCAGGACAACCTTGATCTGGAGCTTCGGCTCGGCCATCAATAGCATCATCATCATCCCCGTCCCGTCCACGAGCTACTACTAATGCTTTCTTTCTATGTAGATTCATTTGGTTGTTGATTGATCTCTAATCCGATGTTATTATGATTTGAGTACAGATTATTTCTCGTCCGAAAATATGGGTTTATAAACATTTGTTTTACTGTTTTTGTCTGGTCAATAACTTTTTTCTTCACACGAGTTGGATTAGGGTTAGATTGTTTGGAGAATAATGCGTTATATATAATATACACTTCCTCAACCTTTGTGATTTGTATCTACTCAACTATAGTGAAACTGGTCTAACGGCCTGCTCTAGCATGTGGTATGAACAGAATCTAGAAAACTATAGAGAAATATTGGTCTTTTCTATTCTATTAGTATTTGGTTCAGTGATTCCAACTCAATGAATCATCTCTTCTCTGATGAACTGTTGGCACCAATCCTACATTTGCTTACTAGTTAGTGATTCCGGCTAAGTAAATCCTTTCTCTCTAATGAAATGTTGGCAACAATCCGGCAGTCCGGCATGATTTGCTAACGCATTTCAACATATTAGTGAACCGCGTAATTATCTGATGTGCCAGTAATGTATTGAGAACTTAGTCTGATCACATAATCAGTTAGAAAACTCGCCATATATCAATTCGATGTGTCAATAGTGTATGAACTAGGACGTCAACATACTTCAGAGATCAACATTCTTCTGCCCATATTTGGAAGCTTGTGACGAGAGAAACAAGCACTACTTCATGTTTTCTGCAAGCTCGATGTTCATTAATCTGTTTTAGTCAACTAGCTAGCTCGTTTACTTGGGTTTCATCGTATATATTTACCGCTTGTTGGTGGGTAGCTTTTTCGTAGTTGGATTGGAACGATGAGTCCTTTGAACTCTGCAGACATAGGAATCGTAAGCATGCGGGTCAAGGTCTTTTGACTTTTCGCAATACTGTATAAACGGATATTTGGGTTCGAAATTAAAGTGGAAACTAGTATAGTAAAGGGTAAATACAATTTAATAGCCAAACTTTTTCATCTTAAACAAAATAATAGCCAAACCTTTTCGAAAACAATTTAATAACCAAACCGTTAACTTTCCATCCGGTCAACCGTTAGTTGACTCTGACGTGGCAAATATGTGTACACATCAGCTTATATATTTTTTCTTTATTTTATGGAATTCTTATCAAATAATAATGGTACAAATAATTAAATTATAATTATAAAAATGGAAAAGAAAAACATAAATTGCAATGATTCAGTTCGCCGCTTTGGTGTTCTCCAACGCAACGCGAGCGCTAAAATCCCCATACCCTAATGCTTCCGTTCGAACACCTTGGTCTTCACCTCAAATCGTAGGGCCTAGGACTAGGGTGACAGACTGACAGTTGCAGAGAAGCATCCGACGACGACTCGAGATTCCGGCCAGGCCGAAGTAGATGACGGGAAGTAGTTGCAGCGGCGGGAAAGGAAGGGACGGTTGCAGGGGCTCTGATCCCAGTCTGGTTTCGCTGGAGGTGCCAGATCCCATAACCAATTTTTGTTCTGCTTCAGATTCAAAGGCAGAGGGAGAAGAAGAAGGAAAAATAGAAGCGGCAGCAACAACAAGAGCTTCTTCTCATCATGGAAATGGCGGCTCCGCTGTCGATTGCCGCGGCGGGAGGAGATTGGCTGCGAGAGGGACATCGCCCACTCTCAATCGACTCTATCCCACCCATATTTCGCCAATCATGAGTCGTCCTCATCGCTTAATCAGACGGCGTTTCATCAAATCTGACAATGGGTACATGGTCAGACTCGACGGCGGTCCGAAATGTTGAATTGAGATCGTCTACGCACAGGGCGCTGGATGGGTCGGCACAAGGGAGGCGGATCGACGTGGATTGTTTGTCGGGGGAGGAAGATCAGAATGGGCACAAACAGATGGAAGTGGGGGAGGAACTCCTTTGGATTCTTTTTGTACTTTGCTCACGGCAGGTAATGGTGGTCAGCGATATCTTTAGCAGCTAGAGCTGGTTTGGAGGAGTCAGGGCTTTAGAGTACTTGGTTAGATTGAGCATTTGACCCGGGGCGATTGGCAAGATGGCATACATGAGATCTGGGTCTTATTCGAGCATGGGTTTTCTGCAACAGGGGAAAAAGAAAGGGAATTCAGATTTGTATGGTCTTTGATGGATGATAGGGTATGGAAGGGATAGGCTAGAGAGAGGGATTCAAACGGATAAAACTATCTTTTTATGATTTTAATTTTCTAAAAATTTAAAAAAATTGTAAAAAGAATTATATATCCATGTGGCAGGGTCAAACGTTTGAGCTATTGCCACATAAGCAAAAGTCCTCCAGCTCACTTAATATTTTGCCACGTCAGAGTCAACTAACGGTTGACCGGATGGAAAGTTAACAGTTTGGTTATTAAATTGTTTTCAAAAAGGTTTGGATATTATTTTGTTTAAAATGAAAGGTTTGGCTATTAAATTGTATTTACCCTATAGTAAAAGTCAAGAATTTTGACTTGTTAAACATCAAATTAAAAGGGTTGCTACACGTCGTTCTGAAAAACCATTCACCTTATTTTATTTTGTATTAGTTTTCAAAAAACAAACACACCACTAAAAAACCATTCACCTAAGTATTCAAATAAGATTCATTACAATATAATTTTTTTGAAAGCATGAATCAATTGGAAAAAAAAAATTGGCCGAATTTGGAGTTGCCCAATGGTCAAACGAAACCAAACCTTCGGTCCACTAGTGGTGAAACGAAATTCAAACCTTCGGTGTAAAAGATCCGATCATGGAACATATTCAATAGACTTTCGAGCGAGAAAGCTTTTGAGCCTCTTGCAGTCCCTGTTTGAGTTGTACGTAGTTGTGCCACTCACTATGAAGAAGAACCTTTAATTTGGTACACCAAAGTCGCTAACGATCAAGAACATATAGACGGATGACTTCCAACTGATCATGTAATTACTAATGTTGTCATCCAATGCGTCGATGTGCAAGACATTTTCATTAATTCTCATTGTCGACTCCATGGATGGATCCCACATTATCTCTCTTTCTTCCAACTTTGTCCTTGTCCATTTTATCGAAACCCAATATAATACTACCCTCACCAATCATATTGTCACTACCAGAAAAGGGGCTTCAGCAACCATTTTATTAGCGACCATAAGAAAATGGTTGCTGAAAACTAGGCTCTACCATTCAGAAATTGGTTGGTGATGTCCAACCTTTGAGCAACCATTGTAGAATGGTCGTCAATGTTCAAAACTTCTGCAACCATTTTGAAAATCGTTGCTGGTATCTAAGTCTTCGACAACTACTAGTAAAAATGGTTGCCAAAAAATCACTGCTTCACCAACCATTATCAAAATAGTTGCTAATACTTGATGTTTGTACAACAATTACTTAAATTGTTGCTGATTGTGCAAATGTTAAGCAACGACTTGTAAGATGGTTGCCAAAAATCAATACTTGACCAACCATTATAAAAATAGTTGTTGATACTTGATGTTTGCGCAACCGTTACATAAATGGTTGCTAATTGAGCAAAGTTTGAGAAACGATTTGAAGGATGGTTGCCAAAATGTTAATACTTCATTAACCATTATTAAAATAGTTGTTGAAAATTGATGTTTGAGCAACCATTACTGAAATGGTGCTGATTGAGCAAAATTCAAAGCTCCATCTAAATGAATCTCCATTGGTTATTCAACCAAACACATAAAACCTATCTCTTTCGCTTTCTCTGTATGTCGAACCCCATTCTTATCCAACGCCTTCGTCGCCTTCCTCTCTTTTTCTCGTATTCTAAAATCATCGATGAATCTCCTCCTCATCTTCCTCCTCTGTCTTCCTTCGCCACTGATTTCTCAAATTGAAGAAGAGTCTTCGGCACCTCCTTCTCCCTTCTCAATTCTCTCTGGTAACCACTTTTTGTGAGATCATAAACAACATAACTAGGCTTTTCCAACCATTAAAAGAATGGTTGCTGATACACAACCTTTAAGCAACCACTGTAAAATGGTTGTCAAAAGATCAACACTTAATCAACTATATGTAAAATGGTTGTTGATATCCTACTATTAAACAACTATTTGTTAAAAGGTCGTCAATAAAACAATACTTCATCAACTATTTTCAATCGTTAAAAAAATTATTGTTTATACCTAACCTTTACCAATCCTATAGCAACCATTCAAAAACTAGTGGGATAAACTGTATTTGTATTCTTTAACTTCAACCTTGTCATTATTTTTTCTTCTGAGTTGTAATTGCACCATGTTGATTTAATGTTTGATTTTCTATCTACTATTGATCTCGGTAGAACTTGAATTGGATGTGTATTTTCTAGAACTTTTCAGGTGAGATGTGTTGTACAGATTCTAGTGTTAATAAAATTAAAAAAGTATCTTGTCCAGAATGCATAGTTAGTAACTATGAAGTTAATAATGTGTAGATAAATGGCTTTTGTTAACATAAGATGACTTTTGCTTCTATTTGTTGAAATTACAGAAGGAGTACAGCATGTACTGATATTGACATGGAGAATGCCTGAAGAGACTAGTATAGATTTGCTAACCTTTAAGCTCATCTCAATATTGAGAATGATTATTGTATTCTGGAGAAGTACAGACCATAATTATTCCTTCTTGTTATATGAATATGGGTCAGATTGGTGTACTCCTGGAATATGCTATAATCTAGGTACTTCTAGTGAGATATCCCTATCTAGACCATGAATAAAATCGAGTTTGGGGTATGATACTATACCCTAACCTCTAATGAATAAACCCCAGACCTCGATTCTCTAAACTCAAACCCGAAGTTCAATTTTATAGAAAATAATAATTGACTGTTGAGATTAGTCGGAGCACAGAAAAGTATATCTAACAGTCATATCACATGGAGTATGGTATACTCCTAGAGGGTTGGAGTACACCAGTCATTACCATATGAATGGGTCCGACTGGTGTACTCCTGGAGTATACTATACTCCAAGTGAGATATCCCTATCTACATCATGAATTAAATCGAGTTTGGAGTATGATATGCTTTGTTTTGTTACTTAATTTATAATCAGCATTATCCAACAATATAATTTAATGATAAATGTACAACCAACCATATTGTCCCTTAAATATGCCTTTTGGCAACCATATTCATGAGTTGCCTAACTACCTTACCTTTTACGCATTGTTTGTTGACCCTGACAAATAGTTGCTGAAATATCTCATTAGGCAACCATAATAGTGTTTGTTGAAATTATGGTCTTGTACCAACCATTTTAGATCGTCGCTGGAAACATGTACAACCAACCATTGTTAGATCATCGCCGAAAAAGTTATTCCCCCGATCATATTTTATAGTTTCCTAAAGTAGGTTTTTGGCAACCGAACAAGAAGAGGGTCGCCTCGGACTTATGTCACAGTATTGCCGACCATCTTGGCGACCAAATTTTATGGTTGCTGAAAGGTTTCGGCTTTGGGCGACCATTAGTGATGGTTGGTGAAAGCATATTTTCTTATAGTGTGTCATTTCTTTGAACTCTTTCTTCTTCGTTTCTTTCAACTCATAATGCTTATTGAATAATTAGTATTGCAATTTTAAACAATAAGCTAAAATTCACTTCCTTTTATTCAACTTTGTATAACATTTCCAATCAAGATAAATTTTTTAATCTTTAAACTATGTCGCGAAAAGATTTGAAATTAAAAAAACATTCCAACCAAACTAAACATATATTAATGTGTTGCAAAATCCACTATTTGGATTTGATTCAAAAAGCACTTAACATTGTTGAAGACAACATATTTCCTAGAGCGACTTAGGACAACTGCCAGAAGCATCAACAGGAGGAAACCCAAACGATGAGGAAAGGTGACCAATATCATCATTCTCATTTCCCGGTTGACCAGCCATTGGATGATTATTAGGCATTGTCGCGATGTTCACCCGTTGATTAATGGTTTCACCAAATGACCCAAACATCGATCTCATGCTCATCAATTGGTATTGAGAAGGCTCAGAAACAGTAGAGGAAGAAGCACCACCAATAGCATAATTATTGATGTTATTGGTAAGGCCGATTACTTCTGTCCTCCTGTTTTCAACCATCATAAACACCTTCGAGTAGGCATCCTCAAGATCTGGAAGCTCTTCCACCTCCACCTCCTTAATCCCTTTGTTCCACCAATTATTCATTGGCTTTCTCACAAGCTTTGCCCTCAAAACCTTCACTTTCTTCTCTTTTTCTTCCATCAATTCCATTAGCTTGTTGTGGGTCCAGAGTAGCTCTTCGATCCTAGCCTGCCTGTACATCCCTTGATTGAGAGGTAATTGAGGCTCTTGTTGCTGGCCCAGGTACCGAAGTGCAAGATCCTCAAAGGAAGGATCACCATAAGTGAAGGGTTTCCCTGCAGGAGAAAATACCAAAAATCCTACCTCGCTACCCGTCATGGTGACAAGCTCATTTACCTTCTTATAGATTCCTGATCGACGCTTTGAGAAGGTGACCGTCCTATCGGATGCCTTTGAAATCCTTTTTATCTCTATCTTTTGCCTCCCTCTTGTTTTCTTCATGACAATGTTTGTGTTGTGGTTCGTCTCCATTTGGAAAACTGGAGACAAAACGTGGTCAGTTGGGATGTTTGTTTTATGAATTAGGGAGTATATGAAGAGAAGAAGGGTTTATGCTTTCACTTGATGTACCTTCTAACGGATTTATAGTGAGAGGGGATTGTAGCAAATAAGGGAATGCCCCGAAGTTGGATACGAAACTAAGTCTTTTCAATTGTGAATGGAGTGGTTTTAGTTTTAAACCACTAATGTATTTGGTTGTCCTAATAAATTTCTTGACATTTTGGCAAAACAAATATCATACTAAGAGTTATCTATTGATAACTATTTGGAATGCATATAAATGTCTTACCATCCCACGCTACTTGACATGTATATTAGTGTTTCATAACCTGAAGAACTTTTTACACTTAGTGATACATAATACAAAGGACCTAGTAATATTATTGCATATATAGTACTTTTTTATGAAAGTGCTTGGTTGTCTGACAGATTGGCGATTTTTTCCTATTTATATCGGTCAAATTAGCAAACCAAATTCATTTTCGTTTAGTAAATATTAGCAAAATAAGAATTGTTTAGGATTTGTAGGAAATAATCCCTTAAGATGAATCAATATAAAAATTGATAGGAAATAAGACGTTTGTTATGGGACAATCCAAGTACCACATCGTTAATACAAGGGAAGAAACATTTTTATATTAGTGTCCCAATTAGTACGAGGCATTTTGGGAAGAATACCCAAGAGTAAAACCGTGCGGGCTTGGCCCAAAGTGGACAATATCGTACTAATTGAGCTAGTCGTTTATTACGAATGGCAATGTGGCAGGTCCGGGGCGGGTATCATGATACCCATACCCGCCCCATGGCAGGTCGAGTCCATATCGGGTAATTTATTACAGGGCAAGGGTCGAGGCAGGTCGACCCAATAGGTATGTAATTTATATGGAAATCATTAGAAATTTTCATAATTTTCATTTAAGACCAAGAAAAGAAATCATAATATGATAAAATGTAATTAAATTATTGAAGAAGTTGAAGGTTTCACTAATTTACAACTTTATAATAGCTAAAATATGATGCAATAAAAGGAAAATCCTAAGTAATTTAACTAAGATTACATGTAACTTAGGCAAGAACGGGTCGAGAATGAAACGGGCCAGGGCAGGTCGGGTCGATGAGAATACCCATGCCCGCCCCAAAACAGGTCAAACAAATCGGGTAAAACGGGCCAGATCGAAATTGTCATCCTTATCGATTATGACAAGTTTGACACTAATATACAAGAGTTCCTTCCCTTGTATTACCGATGTGGTACTTGGATTCTCCCATAACAATCCTCCTCTCAATACAAGGACCACGAACTTTGTATCCTCTCCTCAGCGATTATCTGCTTTGGGCCAAACCCGCACGATTTTACTCTTGGGTAACCCTCCATAAAGGCCTCATACTAATTGGGTTAGGTGAACACAAATATTCAAGGGTTTCTTCTCTTGTATTACTGATGTGGTACTTGGATTGTCCCATGACAATGCTTTATGCCTACTATTTCGATGGTTTGAGTTTAAAGGGCTAGACCTCAAAGCTATTTTCACTTGTAATAGCCCTAGTAGCCTGCTTATTTTGATAATCCTTTGTTTCTTCTAAGTGTAATTTAATAAACAGTATCACGTTTATATAAAAAATAAGACGCTTAAAGCGATTTTGAATATTTATGCATTGATAAATTTTCGACTTACACTTCCAATATGATCAAAATATAATCAATATCCAAGGCAGTAACAAGGTAAATGAAAAATATTCTCTTGCAAACTTTAAAAGAATGGTCGTATGTAGCACGACTGCACGAGTGTTGTAGTAGGATTTTAGTTGAGGTAGGTCAAACCTAAAAAAAATTAATGGTTTACAATGATTCACATCATGCTTTCATATTTTGAAAAGTTTCACAAATAAATTAATTATTCAAACTAGTAAGGATCTCACTCTTGATGTGCCCTACCATGAATAGCTAAAGAATTTCACCACTCATTCGATTCTGAATTGTGTGCTTCACGTAGTAGATTGTAGAATATGCTTTTTCCAGTGGCGGCATGTAACAATAATGTCAACTATAGAAGTCGATACACTAATGAAAACACTAGATACTTTTTGGACAAAATCATTTCTCTTGAAAGTTTAGCAAATACCTTCAATCCGCAAACCTCTTAATTGTCTTCATATCCAATACATGAATATCTAGGTTGATGAAGGTCAAGATGTAAGGTGTCAACTTTCAAGAACTCTTTAGGAAAAATAGTAGTAACTTGTCAAAGTCAACAAATGAAGAGCTTGATTTTGAGGAGGATGTGGCAATCTGGCTCTGGAAAATCATGAAGAGCTCGATTATAATCTTACGGGACTGGAAATTAAGGTTGGAAAGGTGTCAATGATAATTAGAAATCAGAGGTGAGGGAGTAACAATAGATGAATTGTATTCTTTTTATGTAATCTTATATATATCATATTATGAATAAACTAAATATTATCTATGACTCATGAAATGACAAGTAGATTGATGATAAACATGTTAGAAATTAATAAGGAGGTCTCCTCTTCAACACTCACTCTTAAATAATCACCAACAATATTTTCTTCTCTTGTTTATTTTAATCTGAGATGGTGCATGAGATCTCAGTCAGTCCTAAGTGGTCTCGTCATTGTATAGCACCGTTAGTAATATAATATGCATAGCTAAATAAAATGTGAATGTGACAGTTGGCAGTTGGCAGTCTCATATCAGATGTTTATCTCAAGGTTTATAATCGTATTGGAAACCATAAAGATTAATTTAGTGATAGGATATTTTTGTCGTACAACCATGGTTCAATTGTTTTAGTGATAGGATATTTAGTAAAAGAATCAAAAAGTGAACTATCCTCCTCAAAAGCCTGAATAATCTACTGCCTTTGGTGTTTGGTGTGAAATTGGATATGTGCATATGTCTAAAGCTTACCCTATAACATGTTGATTATCATGGTTTTCTAGATTAGCCAATAAGTATATGCAAAAAGAGTACAATCAATAGACACACCATGGCAGAATGTGTAATGCATGAACCAATTTTTGCAGGTATGGCATGCAGAAGTAGTTATTAGGCCCACTGTGAAGCAATTCTGTTGAAAAATTATAAAGCATGAAGCTAATAAAATCTATTAGGTGCACTAGGTGAACTTGATAGGAAGCTCGTTGGTCAAAAAGAGGCTTGAAAATGAGTTAGCCTTAGTCAATGGAGCTCTCCATAGCTCGTATCGCGGAAGCTACTCCTATAAGCTCTATATAACTCGTTGGCTCATTGGAGCTATATAGAGCCCATAGGAACCTCATTATAGCTCGTACCAACAAATGTATAGTTTTTTTGTATAAAGAAGAGAAAAGAAAATTTAACGTTCTAACGGTCATAAAGTAACTGTCATATTCTAAAGACAAATTCTTCTATATATTCATATGTTCTTTCTTTTTTGTGTTCAATACATTCATACTCAAATCAAAATTCACGCAGTATTGTTTCTCTCGTCTATCAACATGATCTCTGACAACGAAAAAATGCAGGCAAGAGAGGAGTGAATAGACAAGTTGAAAAGATGATAAATTGTGCGGAGCTTGGGTTATTCATATCGGAAGATAGAGCTGTCGACATCGATAAAAAAAGTATTGAAATTTTGGGATAGAGTGGTGACACTATTTCGAGAAAAAGATTCATACTCAACTCGCACTAATAAAAGCATGAATTCTCAAATAAGAGTTATTACCGCCAAATACAAATCATGGAAGGCAGCTATGCAAAAAAAAAAAATAGAGGAATCAGGCGAGTGACACAAACGAAGCTGATCTAGTATGTATATGTTTAAATTTAAGCAATATTAATATTTTGTGTGTGCCTATGGTGACTTGCAAGTCACCGTAACTTATACAATTCGGTTGACCTATTCCTAACTGCGGTCGACCGAATCCCCTAAGGTGGTCACTCTAATTTTGTACAACTCATGACCAACAACAGAGAAGTGGTCGACCTTAAATATTATTAGGTCGACCTGAAATATTATTAGGTCGACCTTAAAGACATAAGTTGTCACTACCAGAACAAATTAGGTCGACCTTTGCTCTTCCTATGTCGACCTATCCATCAAAATAATATCAATTTACCAACAAAAACATGTGTAATACTAACACGAACAATTGATAGGTCGACCAGACACATTGATCGGCCGACCTTTTAAGCACAACATAGTCTTACTAACAAAGCTAAACTCGAGATTTTGGATAAACAAGCAAAACAAATAGATATTTAGGTTGACCTATTGGGTTTGATCTTCCTTACCTCGCAAGTACATAAGTCCCAAGTGTTGTGCCCTAAATTTAATTTCTTGCAATTGTCAAACAGAGGCCAACCTAATTGAAAGTAGGGTCGACCAAATGGTCTTCTGCACGCAACAAAACATCAAATTAAACGGTGCATAATATGAATTAGACAAGATGACGGTGATAACTAAAATAAGTTGAACTCACCTTTCACGTGGCCGACCTTCTTCTTCACAAAAGCTCTAACCGTACAAAAAACCAAATTCAGAGTTTCGGTGGCGGTAAAGGTGACATATATTCATATTTATAGATATTTAGGACGAGACTGGGTCCAATTAAGTGGTACACAAGTTAGGGTTAACTTTCTGGTGTTGGAATCCTTATCCAATACGGATACAGTGTGCACAGGGTCGAACTCGTACTTGTCAAGTCGACCGTTTATACTATTTTCATAAATAATCTCGACTTTGATGTTGATCAGTTAACGAGACATAGGTCGACCTTTTCACTTATGAGGTCGACCTTTTAATAGCAAAATGGTCGGCGTTTGAGATTGGGTCGACCTTTTATATTGTTCGCTTTCCAAAGAGGTCGGCCATTTGCTGTAAAAGGTCCACCGTGTCGTTGAGCCTGACAAAACTGAAACAACAGATTAGATCGACCTAATCATATCTGAGGTCGACCGAAAATCACCGTAGCAAAATCCTAATATTTTATTATTTTATTCTAATAGTAGATGTGTTTTATTTTCTAACTATTATCTTTATTTATTAATATGTTTAATAAGAGAGTATGACAATAAGTATCTATTGGAGTGAGACTAAAGAGAAAGCTTTCAATAATAAGCATTGCCGGAGGATCCTGAGAATTTGTCAATGTTTCATTCATTCATTGTAATCATAAAAATGACACTCCCATTTCATCCATGAGTTAAGGATCACAATCGAGCACCATGAATCAAGATTTCGATGGTTAACCCATGGGTAACGATTCTCAATCCACCCCGTTGATAGGCGAGAAAAAAAATGAAGGAGTGTAGCTGAACCATCAGCCATCTACACTGCTAAGTTGCTGGAGTTTGAAAATGACATGAAAGATAGGCATGAGTCAAGGACTGAGTATGTACGAAGAAGAATGAATATCCAAGAAAAATTATTATATAACACGAAGAAGATAAATTGGCATACAAGAGGGAAATGCGGTTACATGAAGCCAAAAATGTGATGTTGAGAAGAGAGAGAATGGAGGGGGACTGGGCGGCACTACTACAACAAAAACATGACTATTCTGAAAAATTATTTGTCCAATATAACACCAAAAAAGAAGAAATTTTCAAGAACCAGACTAAACGGCCTTCTCTGGTTCAATCACGATACCCTCATATTTGGGTTAATGACATATTTGGTCACTGTGATTACTGAATTGCGTCATATTTAGTCACTAGAACAAGTTAATATCAAATTTGGTCACTACAATTACTAAAATAGGTCATATTGAGTCACTCTCCGTTAGTCTCCGTCCAACTCCGTTAGTGGAGTCCGTTAAGTGCTGACGTGGCTAACGGATGCGCCTAGTCAGCACTGTTTTGACCCAAAAATCATCAGACCCGACCCGCCACGTCAGTTTCACCCGCCATGTCATACACTAACCCAACCATTAACCCAACCCGACCCAAAACCAAACCCTAACCCACCTAACAAAACAAAATTGGAAAATCATCTGGTTAGTGGCCATTTTCAGACCAAAACCCTTCTACTTCCTCGCAAACCTGCTCGAGATACATCAAACAACTAGCTTAAGTATAGACCATCTACAGCTGTAATAATGGAAGGTTGTGCAAAGAGAATCAAACGCACATACCCCTTTCCATAATTGATTCCCCTTTTCTAGAGTTTTTAGACTAGCTTACAACCAGAAAAAGCAAAGAAACCACTTACGTTTATCATCGGGGAAGAAGAGAGCCGGAGCGCGACAGGGGGAAACTGAACTCGTGCAATGGGGAAATCGATTTAGGGTTTTGACCAGGGCTGTCGGCGCGCGATGGGGAAAGCTGATGCCGGCGCGCCCTGGGGGAAGACGACGACGGTGCACGACGAAGGTGGATTTGAGGGTTTCGCCTTTTACTGCGATGGCGAAAACTGACGGCGCGCGGCGACGGAGAAGAAGAAGAAGAAGAAGAAGAAGAAGAAGAAATGCAAAATGGAAGGAGGATATAGAACAAGGGGGTAGCGTGGAGGTCTTCATCTCTCCCTGGAGTTCGATTGAAAATGGCTGAAGCTAGAGGAAGGAGCAGGTTTGTGAGGAAGGAGAAGGGTTTTGGTTTGAAAATGGCCACTAACCAGATGATTTTCCTTTTTTTGTTAGGTGGCTTAGAGTTTGGTTTTGGATCGGGTTGGGTTCATGGTTGGGTTGGTGTATGACATGGCAAGTGAAACTGATGTGGCGGGTCGGGTCTGATGATTTTTGGGTCAAAACGGCGCTGATTAGGCGCATCCGTTAGCCACGTCAGCACTTAACGGACTCCACTAACGGAGTTGGACGGAGACTAACGGAGAGTGACTCAATATGACCTATTTTAGTAATTATAGTGACCAAATTTGATATTAACTTTTTCTAGTGACTAAACATGACACAATTTAGTAATCATAGTGACCAAATATGGCATTAACCCCTCATATTTACTCTTTTTTCCCCCCAAGCATTATGTGTAACGTGTAATGTTTAATCTTCTTATTTTATCTTTATCATTTGTATGTTATGTTTAAAGAACAAGTAGACCAATTCAATCTCTGCTACCCATGCAATTATCTGTTAGGCTTTTTGAAAGGTACATTGCTGCTACCCATGCAATTATCTGTTAGGCTTTTTGAAAGGTACATGGCTGCTAGGACGGTTAATGATCCGAGCAGAGCAGAATTTTGTTATAGTTTGGGCTCGACAGGTTAATATTTTCAAACTCGAACTCGGCTCGTGTTCGTCACGAGTTTTAATATGCAAGCTCGAGTTCAGCTCGTTTATGAAAATGAATGCTCTAGCTCGGCTCGTCAAATAAGTTTAACGAGCCCAAAACCGAGTTCAGCTCATAAAATATTCATGATAGCTCAAGATTGACCTAGAACTGAGCATAAAATTACATTCAGGCCTGTAGCAAAGTCTAGCAAAATAAAACACAATATTTATCCCAATTTTAATACATAAAATCCATGAATTCTAATAATTTCTGTTGTCAAACCATTAAATGAGCTTGTTCGCAAACTTTCAAGCTGAACATGGTATGGCTTGAGTTCGACTCATTTAGTTAACGAGCTGGCTCAATTAAGACAAATTGAGTGTCGAATGAGTTTTTCTCGAATCGGACACCAAGCGGTTCATCCTTAATTTGCTGCTAATGAAATGGATTAATGAAATTTAATTGGTGCCTAATGGATTTGGATTTCCGTTGATTACTCAGATGTTAAAATCTAGATTTGTCTCTAGCTTTTGATTTCAGTTGATATCTATCCCTTAGACTGTTGCACTTGCACAAGAGATGAAGCTCCGCAGATATCACACTGTTCCAAGTTCATATTGCGATTAACCAAATCATGAAATGAGTATCGGAAAAGAAACGCTTCAGGGTTCCCCTTGACACTTTAAGCCGCAAAACTGAACCCACAAACCAGCTTACCACTTTTACACAACAAAGATTCACCAATTCTTCCTGAGTTCCTATTTTCGGTTCAATCCGCCCCAGCTACCTATCTTTTATCAATGGAGTTGATCGAGTCGAAGGAGTTGATCGAGTCGAAGGAGTTGATATATCATTTCTTTCGTCTCTTCCTCGCGAGGCCTTCCGTGGATTCCTTCTTGTTCTTCTCCGCCACCACATCAGTTTTCTTCTCCACCACCACCGTATCATCTCCGGTTTTCTGCAATCGAATATTAATACAACAAACTTAATATGTAACTAGTATCAACACCCCACCACGACTATTAGACGCCACGAGAGCTTATTGCATCAATTCGTACCTTCTTTCTCAACCTGTTCCTTTGCCGCTGTCTCCCTGTGTTCTTCTTCCTCTTTGTTTTCTCCTACATACAAAAAAAACTAATTCAGTTTCACAAACATAGTTTCTAACATGATTTAGTAAATAATAAGAAAACCGCGTACTTCTGCAAGGGCTACAATTCGAGCGTTCATCTCAGCTGGGGTCTCCTGGTTCTCCATCTCACCATCACTATTCAGGGCGGTCTTCAGCCTATTCTCCTTCAGTTGCTTCTCAGAGCGAGCATGTCTCTGTAACCAACGTAGACTTCTACCGAGATCAAGACCAAATGGCCAAATAGGAAGACCCACATCAGAAACACTTGCACTTAAACTTCAAGGCCTCACCTTGGATTTCAAATGGACACGCATAGTCTGATCAGTTAAGCAAATGATTCGAGGGCAGATTCTGCACCTATATACAGACTTAACCTGTAGTACACAATCTGGCATATCATCAACTGGTTCTGATTCCTTTTCATCAGTATTTTTGGACTGTCTACCGAGTGGTTTGCCATAGGGTCTACCAGATAACTTGGCTGAGATACGGGTTTGCTTGTCGTCTTCAGATGAATCATCTTCAACTTCTGAATCTGCAATGATGCCACCACGATATCAGACATCTCCAAAGAGAATTTTTTAGGATGAACAAAACCTTGACTGATTTAGACTAGCCTGGTGGTATTGGTGGATATGAATACTCAGCACAGCCGAAGTTCAATATTTTAAGGCACTTGCATAAAATAATAGAATGATGCATTGATGATTGATCAGACTGAACTTGAGCATGTCTCTAAGAAAACAATGCAACCATAATGCTTGTGCATGTCACACTTTGGACTGATAATTGAAAATAATTAGTTGTTGTAAGTGTAGCAACAAGATGATAAAAATCATGGTAGTTGGAAGCTACAGTGAAAGAAGGAACCTTAGAAACAAATCTCAAACAAAGAATTCACAGTCAGCCTGTTGCTTGCGCTCTGTATTCAACACAAAAGGTACCTTTGCCCTAATCCCCAGAGATACTTCTCTGGCAAATAGGTATATATTGATCTGAAACAGTCACCGATGAAAAATTAAGAATGAACAGACATTTTAAAGCTGTATTCTGATTATATATATAAAAAAAAAACTGTATTCTGAAAACATAGAATAAGAAACCAACTTACGAGCACTTAAGGCCCTTACTCAATGGACCGCTAAATTTCATACCTTATCTGCTTGGATTTACTAGCTACTGGAGTACTGGTACATTATATATGAGAGGATTCCAATATGAGAAATTAGAATGACAGACCATTTGACGAACAAATACGAAAACAAGTTAAACCTAAAAATATAATAACCGAACATAAAAAAAAAATCTATAAACATCACAAATGCACCTAGCAAAGGCAGCCTCATGCAAATGAACATTGGCGAATAAGCTCAATATTTTACAAAAATTAAGGCACCCCAAATCACAGGCAAAAAGAATACAGACACTTCCTCAACACATAATTTTATATGAAGCAACAGGAAATAATTCTGACTGAGTTTCTACCTGATGTATCCTCATTGACCTCGGCGGCAGAGCTTTCCTCACTTTCATATCCTGACATGGATACGAGTAAACAAAAAAAAATTAATCTCATTGAAAAGAAGCCGCAAAAAAACAAAAATCAGGAATAGAATAAAAATTCAGTTTCATCACTAACGGGGAAAATGTAAAGCCCTCTCTTTAATTCAAGCAAAGAACAATACTTTTGAAAATGATATGATATCAATATGATGAAAACCGGAAGGGGAGGGGAGGTGTTGGTTGACAAACCAGATGAAGCAGGGGAAGTGACATCTTGCTGATTAACGTCTTCAGCAGTTGCATCATGAGCTGATTCGTCAGATGATTCTGCTTCAACATCAGAGTCAGAGGAGGAGGACGAAGATGAATCTGAAGATGCTTCATCTTTGTCACCATGTTCCAACCTATAAAACCGCCTCTTGATCATCTTCTTTCCGCCTCCTCGCCAACTCCTGAACCAAGAAGCAGTTGTAAACCTTGGAGGATGTCCATTTCTCCGAAATTGCAAAATCATAAGAATGACAATAGGACCATATGCCTCATGTACGATGGCACCGCTCATGCCAGGCCTTTTGAAAACTATAGACCCCGTGGGGAACATTATCCATTGTAGGAGAACCACCACGAAAAAATTTGTAAACTATACTAGGTACTACAGAAAGAGCAGACATGATGATAAAACCACAGCATCATACGAAGGGACCAGGGTTGAAGAATTCACTAGGCTTAAGGCGGGCGCTGGAGTCCAGCCTGCTCGCCTAGGCAGTTTTAAGCGTTGGAAACGAACATATCAATTTTTAGTAGAAACACTTAACAACAAGCACTTAACTTTCAACAGTTCTTTCTCTTTTTCCTAAACTTTCTATAGTAGAGAAGATGAAAGACTTTCGCCCAATCTCGGGTTGCAATGTGATTTACAAGGGTATTTCCAAGCTTCTGTCCAATAGGTTGTCTCTGGTTCTGCCGAAGCTTATTGGTAGGAGTCAGTCTGCTTTTGTTAAGGGTCGGTTAATCAGTGATAATATACTCATGGCAACTGAATTGGTCAAAGATTATCATAGGAGTACAATCTCACCTAGGTGTGCTTTAAAAATTGACCTAATGAAAGCTTTTGATTCTGTGGACTGGGGTTTTCTGTTTATGGTGCTCAGAGCTATGGGTTTGCCGTTAAGTTTTGTTAAGTTGGTGGAGTCGTGAGTTTCTATGCCAATGCTAAGTGTCTCTTTTAATGGCAGGTTGTGTGGCTACTTCCCAGCAGCAAAAGGATTAAGACGGGGATCCATTATCCCCCTATCTCTTTACAGTGGCTATGGAGGTGTTCTCTTGTCTTCTTAACAAGGCAGTTGTGTGCAATTTGGTACCTTACCACCCGCGTTGTAAGAGTTTGGAGATGTCTCATCTATGTTTCGCGGATGATCTATTAGTTTTTACTAATGGGTCATCTCAGGCTATGATTGGTATCAAGCAGGTGTTAGATCAGTTTTATCATATCTCAGGGCTTAAATGCAACCCTCAGAAGTGCCAGCTATTTTGCTCAGGAATCTCTCAAGATGAAAAGCAGGCTTTATCTCAACAATCTCGGTTCCCTTTAGGTGAGCTCCCTGTACGCTATCTTGGGGTGCCACTTCTTTCTGGTAAGCTGCCGTCTTTTGACTGTGACTGTTTAGTAGAAAGAATCACGAAGAGAATACAAACATGGCAAGCTAGATCCCTAAGTTATGCAGGGAAGTTACAGTTAATTGACTCAGTAATCACAAGTGTGTTTCAGTATTGGATGTCGATCTTTTTACTTCCATTAAAGGTGCTTAAGATGATTGAGATGGTTTGCAATAGATTCTTGTGGTGTGTGGATGGTGATAAGAGGAAGAAGGCTCCTGCTGCTTGGTGACAGGTAGCTCTACCGAGGGATGAAGGGGGGTTGGGTATTATAGATTTTAAAACTTGGAATAAAGCTTGTGTTATTCATCATTTGTGGAATATCCTTGCAGAGTCAAGCTCATTGTGGGTGGCGTGGACGAACAAGTATAGGATTAAGGGGAGAAATATATGGTCTCTCCCTGTTAGCACTGTTAGTACATGGGTGTGGAAGAAAATACCCAAATGTAGGCAGGTGGCGCAGCAGCACATCACTGGAGGAGGGGTGAGTTTGGCTTGGGATGGTTTGGTTTCTCGATATTCTGTTAAGCGGGTATGGGGGTCGATCAGAGTTCCTTTGCCTGCAGTGTCATGGGCTCATGTTGTTTGGAGCAAACCTGTCTATCCTAAACATTGTGTGCTGCTGTGGTTGATTATTTTGGGAAGGATTCGCACAAGGGATAAGATGATTGGTTGGGGGGGTTAATTGTGATGGATGTTGTGTGCTGTGTCCAGGGGGATTTGAGAGTAGAGACCATCTGTTTGGGTCTTGCTCTTTTGGCAGAGAGGTGCTACGGTTGATTCTGACAGATATATGTGTGTTGCCTTTGTTTGTTGATTGGCAAGTGCAGATGGATTGGGCTGAACAAGTCTGGTCGCAGTCCTCTGATAAAGCAGCAGTTGGAAGGGTATTATGGATCATGGGAATCAGCACTATATGAAAGGAGAGATGTGCGAGACTGTATGGTTATGGAGGTGTGGCTGCCAATTCTCCATCTCGAGTTGCACAGAAAGTTATGAAGGAGTTCCTTATATTTGCCAGTGGACAAATCCCTTACCAGATGAGAGTACAGAAAGTTTTGAAGGCCTGAAGTAGAGTTTGCAGTTTTAGTATGTTAATTTTCGTTTTTCTTGGGTTATGAAGTTTTAGCTTGTAATAGCAAAGTTACTTTTTGAGAGAGAAGCTGCGAGTTGCACTTCTCCGGGCCTTAATGCAATTTTTGATTAACCATTAAAAAAAAACAAGCACTTAACGTCAAGAGCAAATTCATTCATCATCATCAGAAATCCATACTTGATAAAAAGAAAAACTGTATTTAACAAAACAACATCGACAAATTCATGATCTGCGGTATGCTTCAAATCCGCCGATAGCATCAATAGCAACTGGAAAAGCTGAAAGTGCTCAACGAGTGTAACAATAGTATATTACAAAACATAAGCAGCCGAACTTTGTTTGACTTACTTGAGAACTGGAAAAGAAGTACGGCCGTTGGCAGTCGGCGGTGAGGAAAACTGGAGCAGAGGTTTGCTGTTGGCAGTCGGCGACGAGGAGAACTGGCGAATAGCAGAGCAGAGGGCCGGTTCGAAGGGAATGGAGCAATACGAGGAGAAGCAGCTGCGATTTCTAAGTTCTAACCTAGAATTTCGATTCGAAATTAAGGTCTAGTTGAAGACGACACCGTTTGGAGGGTGAGCCATGCAGTGCACTTCTTATGCTTTGAACCCTAGTTCTAATATTTAGCGCAGGCCGGCAGGCCCATAGGACCAAAATATTTTTGGGTGGATAGGGCCCATCTTAATCTTTGAAGCAGCTTGTTCAGAAACAGAGGGTTCAGGAGAGGGCAAAAAAAGCTCTGAAATTCCATTGCCGGGCAGCTCAGCTCCGATGAACTGTGAACTGCCGCTTCTTTAATCTTTATCACTACCACCGCCACAGCCAAATGCGCGCCCAGGCTATGATATGGGGCAGCCGTCGTCTTGGTCGACGGCTTCCCTCTGCTAATCGCGGCTGCAGGTGGGTATAATCCATCCATTTTTCAATCAATTCATTTCAGCACATTCATCCTTGGACTCTTTCACTCCCTTTATCTCGCTTGAAATTGTACTGCTGTATGATTGGCCTTTTCTAGATGAATGGTAGGAAGAAAGATTGGTAGAAAGGTAGGATTTTTATACTTTGTACAAATCCTTTGGTCTCCCTATGGGTAATCTTTATCAAATTTTGCGATTTGAGGAACATGTGGAGGTTCTTTTTGCCTCCCATTGACTGGTTAATTGCTAGTGCAGCAGTGCATCTGAGCTATTCCTCGATACCGTTACCGTATGAAGATCTTCTTGAGTAATGTAATGTGCCATTAATGGATGACAAAGTTTGTTCTTCTGCAGGAAACCCTTGGTCTGCTTCGGGCCTTCGTTGCAACACTACTTCAGTTCCTCTTCATTATCCACAGTAGACCATTTTGTTCCGAGACATTCTAACCTTACCACGTCTGGAGTATTGAATGGATGTAGGGTTCCAAGGTCTATCCTGCAAACCTCATCTGCACATTTCCCTTGTCATTTGACTTGGATGCAGAAGAGAATCGACAATTTCTCAAGTACCAGAGACAGGACGACCGGGCCATCACTTCAGCTGAAGACAGATAGTGATGTAGTCAAGTTCTCTGTTGGTAAGTTATCGAGAGAAGATGGTTCAGGAATGGGAAACAAGAAACCTAAGAAGGTTAAAATGTCTAAACGAGCTAAGGTCAATGAGCTCAGATTTTACCGTCTCAAGGCGAAAAAGAAGATGAACTCCTCCAACCCAGAAGTGAGAATCAGATACAAGCTTGAAAAGGTTTGTCCTTCTTGTAGCAATATATCTACTTATTCAGTCACTGTTTGCTTGTCCACAAATAACTGCTTGGGAAATTTGTGTGTATGGGTTTGACATTATATTCTTCTGTTAAGCAAGTCCAGTGATGGTTTGTGGTTGAAAATTTTATCGTTTGTATGATCTAGTGGTCTCCATCTTCGTTTCTCTTGGCACTTTGGCAGCCTTCATTATAATCATGCCGTCACTATTCTCTTATTCTCCTGGCTGCCAGTTCTTTTCCCACAATAACTTGTTGTGTTAGCTACTAAGAAGCTGCAAGAGAATTACACGACCCTATTTTTTGTTTGATTATTGGAAATGTTACATTGGATGGCATCATAAAGAACGTAGTATCCTTACTTTCTTTCACTTAACCAGGCACAGCTTATTTTCCCTACTGTTTCAATGCGACTTGATCCTCCAGTTTTGGAGTCCATCCCTTAAATAATGTTTTTCATTTTCTTAATAAAGCATTTATTAACTTAGGGAAAGTCATCAGGCCAAACGAAAAGAGGCATGGTTGATTGAGAAGTTGATGAAATTTGACCTTCCAAGGGGTCCTCCTGAAACCTATGATCCTGAAATATTGACAGAGGAAGAGAAGCATTACCTCAAGCGCACAGGTGAGAAGAAGAAAAACTTTGTTATAGTTGGGAGGCGAGGTGTTTTTGGAGGTGTTGTTCTTAATATGCATCTTCACTGGAAGAAGCACGAGACCGTGAAGGTTATTTGCAAACCTTGCCGGCCAGGGCAAATTCATGATTTTGCGGATGAGCTTTCTCGATTGAGCAAAGGAATTGTAATCGATATAAAGCCAAACAATTCCATTGTATTCTATAGGGGGAAGAATTATGTGCAGCCAGAAGTTATGTCCCCTCCTGAGACACTATCAAAAGCAAAGGTATGTGCTTTGCATGTGCTGCATGGCATCTAATGTCTCATTGTCTTTTTGGACTTTGTAGCTGATGCGATGGCTAAATTGCTTCTTATTTTCATTGTGTATGAACTGAAAATCAAATGATCCACAGGCTTTGGAGAAATATAGGCTCCAACAGTCACTTGAGCACACGAGTCACTTTATTGAGAAGCTGGAGAAAGAGCTTGAAGAATATCTAGAGCATGCATCACGTTACAAGAAACTGAAGGATGAAGCGCAGTGCTGCAGCATGCCAAATACAGATGGTGACCAAAATTGCAGAGGCCTATAGTGAAATGAATGATTCAATTAGGATGAAACGCGCCCGAGATACCAGGCCAGTGAAAGCGTCGTTAGCAAAATGAGAACACCTAGAAAGTGGTATTCTGCAGCAGGGTTGGCACAAACGATTGAGAGGAGACCATGAAAGATGCCGCGACATCAATGATGATATTGGATGTAAAGAAGTGATGGTGGAGTTCTTTGGAAAAGCAAGCTTTTCTATGGCTTCACTATGTTGGCTACAATTCTAGAGCTTCATCGGTGTATGGCTGGTTGCAGTGGCCCTTGCAACTAGCTCGCGGTGTATAACATCTGAGCTCTGAAGTGGAATCATCTCCCTTGACAAGTACTTCAACGTACATGAACTATGAGGTATTTACCTAAACTTAAACAGAAGCTGCTGTGAGGTTGGGTTCCCAATCCTGTTCATTCAGTTGGCCAGAGAGATGCTACCAAACAATGTATCAGTATTTTACCAAAAAAAACAATGTATCAGTAAACATTTATTGGAACTCTGTACCTGCAAGTTCTGTCAATCTAACCGGCTCTAGAAAAGCCCTCAAACTTGGATGAGTTGAGTTTGATGAGATTTATAAGCGGAGGAATACTTGTGATCTTGGTATATTCTGTGTGTGTATTCCATTGACATGGGTAGAATCAAATTTGTAAGTGGCATGCTGATAAAAGTTTCTCAGATGGGTCACATATAAAATTGCAGATTGATTGAAGTCGTCCAAAGTCGAAGTAAATGGCATAAGTATATCTATTGGAAAAGTCAAGTGAGTGGACTGAAACCTACAAATGTAATTTTTTTACCATGTGCTACGTACACATTTGGCACCTGATCAGCAGAGTGCAAAGAGGTCCCATTGTGTCCCCCTAAACAAGTTCCTTATCACAAAGAAGATGAACAACAGTTCCAAAAGGGATATGATTTTAATTGCATAATCAATGAAATAGGAAGGCAAAGGCGCAACATCTAAGCAAGAAAGCATTAAAAACGAGAAAGGCAAACCAGGATAGAAACGTCCCAGAATAGACCAGAGAGTGAAGAGGTGGAAAATAAAGAACAAATCTTTTCTGGTGTGACATGGACGTTTCATTTCAAAAGCTCGTCCAAGTTCGGTTCATGTATGTACCTTGTGGCTCCCACTTTGTCCCCTCCACCCTCTCTCTCTCTCTAATCTAAAACGGTGAAACCCAGAAGAACAAAACAACGGCGCGGAACTAACACAGAAGAAAAACGATAAGTGGGAAACTTTCCCCCTCCAGAGAGAGAGAGAGGGAACGATTAGGGAGGAACATTAGATTTTCACAGAGATAGTCGCTTAGATCCCCTCTTATTAACTATTCATAATATTGGGTTTTGCGATCATGGGGATATATAAAAAAATGCAGGAGGTTGCTCTGTAAAACAGGGTGCTTGTTTTTTTCTTTCTTTTTTGGGGTTTTATATTTGTTTGTTAACTAGTTTGGGGATTATGGATTGGATTTGGATTAGCTCTCCCTTTCTTTTTTTGGTTTGATCTTGTTTATTATAATTCCAGTACAAAATGTGTGTACTATTATTATAACTCAAAAGAGAGCTTCTTCCATAGCTGAACTGTCCTCCTGGCCGAGAGAGAGAGCCACCACACTCTGCATGACTGGGGAAGAAGAAGCAAGAGAATGGAGAAGAAGATCTAGTAGAGCTGCTTCTGGGTTCTCTCTCTCTCTCTCTCTCTCCGTCCCTTTTGATTTGGTATCTGGGAATTGTTTCTCTTTTCTCCAGGTACGGCTCCTTTCTTTTCACCACCAGCATTCCTTTTTCTTCTTCCTCTTCTTCTTCTTCTTCTTCTAGTCTGATTAGATTCTCCTGTTTCTGGATGGAGAAATGGAGGAAGAAGAAAGAGGGGGAAAAGGTTGTAGCCGGCTGGTTTGCTTTATGGCAAGTTAAAATGTTTCCTTACGTTTCCACTTGTATTGGGTCTTTCTTTTTTTTTTTTTTTGTTTTTTTTTTTGTTATAATAGCTTTGTTTGGATTGAGGGAAAATGTCGTCTTCTACTGCGAGCTAGCTATCCAAGCTTGCGTCCTTGTTTTTCTCCTTGAAAGAAAAAGAGGGGATAATTCATGGAATGGTAGCAGTTTGATAAGGCAAGCAAATGTTTATGGCGTGTAGTTATGAACTTGGAGAAAAATCTTTTTGGTTGGCAATCGGGTTGGATTCAATGGTTCTTAGATGTTAGATCCCCAATTTTGGAATTGGCTTTAATTACGAAAGAATTCTAAAAAGGGTTTGCCTTTTTCCTTATCAGGGGAGGGAAAAGGTGAGGAATTGAAGGGTGAGAGGTTTCTTCTTCTTGATTGATCCTCCTTCATTCTAGCCGCCGTAGTTTAAACCGGTCAGCTGCTGCCTGCTACTGCTGCTGTTATTGGAACTGGAAAAATATCTATATCGTTGAAAGATTCAAACTTTGGGGCTTTCCCCCAAATGGATTGAAACAAAGCCGGCAGCCCAATCTGGCCGCAATGTTCAAATCATTATCTCCTGGGCTGCTGCTGCTGATAACTTTCTTGCTCTTCTTCTCCGCATCCTCCATCGCCGGAGACAGCGACAACGGCTACCCGAGATGCAACTGCGACGACGAGGGCAGTTTCTGGAGCATAGAAAGCATCCTCGAATGCCAGAGGGTCGGTGATTTCTTGATCGCCGTCGCCTATTTTTCAATCCCAATCGAGCTGCTCTACTTCATCAGCTGCTCTAACGTCCCGTTCAAATGGGTCCTCGTCGAATTCATCGCCTTCATCGTTCTCTGCGGGATGACCCACTTGCTCAATGGCTGGACTTACGGGCCCCACACTTTCCAGCTCATGGTTGCAGTCACTGTCTTCAAGATCCTAACCGCCCTGGTCTCCTGCGCCACTGCCATCACCCTCTTCAGCTTGATCCCTTTGCTGTTGAAGGTCAAGGTTAGGGAATTCATGCTGAAGAAGAAGACTTGGGATCTGGGTAGAGAAGTCGGGATGATTATGAAGCAGAGAGAGGCTGGTCTCCATGTCCGGATGCTTACGCAGGAGATTCGCAAATCGCTGGATCGGCACACCATTCTGTACACTACCCTTGTCGAGCTTTCGAATACCCTAGGGTTGCAGAACTGCGCAGTCTGGATGCCTAATGAGATGAGGACCGAGATGCATCTCACGCACGAGTTGAATGGGGGCGATTATGGCAACATGGAGAGTTGTACGATACGGACATCTGATCCTGATGTGGCAAGGATTAAGGGCAGTGATAGTGTGAACATACTCGACCCCGACTCGCCTATAGCTGCTGCAAGCTTAGGCACAGAGTCTGGCGAGCACATCGGTCCGGTGGCTGCGATTCGGATGCCGATTCTTCGAGTTTGCAACTTCAAGGGTGGAACTCCTGAGATGATCCAAGCGTGCTATGCGATATTGGTGTTGGTTCTTCCTGGTGGTGCTCAGCCGAGGTCTTGGAGCAATCAAGAGCTTGAGATAATTAAAGTAGTGGCCGATCAGGTAGCTGTCGCTTTATCCCATGCTGCCGTCCTTGAAGAATCTCAGCTCATGAGGGAGAAATTGGAGGAGCAGAATCGAGCGTTGCAGCAGGCAAAGATGAACACTTCAATGGCTAGCCAAGCCAGGAATGCTTTTCAAAAGGTTATGAGCGATGGAATGAAGAGACCTATGCATTCGATTCTAGGATTGGTGTCCATGATGCAAGATGGAAGTTTGAAAAATAGCGAGCAACAGATTATAGTAGATACAATGATGAAAGCTAGCAATGTGTTGTCGATACTGATAGACGATGTGATGGAAATTTCGACCAAGGATAGTGGGAGGTTTCCAATGGACACGCGGTCTTTCAGGCTGCACTCGATGATCACGGAAGCAGCTTGCCTTGCCAAGTGCCTATGTGTGTATAAGGGGTTTGGCTTTTCAATGGAAGTTGACAGGTCATTGCCCGATCATGTGATGGGAGATGAGAGGAGGATCTTTCAGGTGATACTTCATATGGTTGGGAATCTTCTCGACGGGAATAGTAGAGGGGGGTCTGTACTGCTTCGGGTTGTTGCCGATAATGGGAGTCAGGAGAGGAATGATCAGAGATGGGCTGTGTGGAGACACAGCCCTTCTGAGGGTGATGTATCTATCAGATTCGAGATTGGAATAACTTCTGGTGATTCTGAATCCAAGGCCTCCGCTTCAGCTATGCAGCTCGGGGGTCGAAGGTACACCAGTGATGGATTTGAGCATGGCTTGAGCTTCACTGTTTGCAAGAAGCTGGTCCAGGTATGAGTATGACCTTCCCCTGGTACCCTATATATATTCATAGACTTTAGGATATCTGATTTGCTCACTGTTAAGCAAAATCCCATATATTGTTAACCAGAATTCATACTAGTTGCAACTGCCAACATTTATCTTGTTCTTATTCTTGCAATTAGTGCCTTGTTCTGGGAAGCCCTTTGATCTAAATATCTGGAGTTCTTATTTTCGATGTCTACATGTTACCATTCTCATTTTTGGACAAATATTTGGTAATGGTAAGATCTGTAGTTGGAAGTTATATTGACTTCTTGATTCCTATTCCACCATGCCTAACCTATGAATAGTAGGAACACATCACTTCATGCATTGAGAGTCAGTTAGTTCACTTTGTTGGGATCTGAGAGCAACCATTTATTAAGGTTCTTACAACGAATCGACATTGTTGGATGTGCAGATGATGCAAGGGAACATCTGGGTAGTCCCGAATAACCAAGGATTCGTCCAGAACATGGGGCTGATTCTACGGTTCCAGCTCCGGCAATCGATCAGCCTGACCATCTCCGAACCAGGGGAATTGACATCTTCGGAGCACCACCCTAATTCCAACTCTTTCCTCCAAGGCCTGCAAGTGGCCCTGGTCGAGTCGGACGACCTGAACCGGAGCGTCACCCGGAGGCTGCTCGAGAAGCTCGGGTGCTCGGTCACCCCTCTCTCCTCAGGGTACGAGTGCCTCAGCGCCATCGGGCCAGCCACGTCTTCGTTCCAGGTCGTGCTCCTCGACCTGCAGCTCCCCGACCTGGACGGGTTTGAAGTTGCGGCCAGGATCAGGAAGTTCAGGAGCCGGAGCTGGCCGCTGATCCTCGCGATGACGTCGTCCAGCGCGGCCGAAGAGGATGACCTGTGGGAGAAGTGCATGCAGATGGGACTGAATGGCGTGATCAGGAAGCCGATTCTGCTTCAAGGAATCGCCAACGAGCTGAGGAGAGTGGTTTTGCAGGCAAACAGAGTGGTGTAGCAGCAGCAACAGCAGCTCAGTTTAATTTCCCCTCTAGCATAGAGAATTAATGTCTAGATATATACACAGCATAACATTTTACAGGAACAAACAATCAATATGATTATACAGAAATTTAGCTACTTCGATCATTAATTAGTGCTGTGGCATGAAGAGAACAAGAATTTTGTTCCGAAGTATGCTCGTATGACTCCAAACAAAAAGACTGAAGAGAAAGGAGAATTTAACTTTCGACTTTAGTCATTATCATTTAACTTGTAATGAAAGCAACCTCATGATCTTTGTTATCCAATTCACATTAAAGTTTAAACCAATCAAACTGTCATCGCACCAACTCTAATCGGAATATATACTCAGTTTATCTGGTCTCTTTCATATCAAACTTGTAAAACTCTACTAAAAGTAGGGTTGCAAACGTGTCGAATCAAGACGATCTTACTGAAGCTTACCTCGTTAATATACGAGTCGAGATTGAGCTCAGCTTGTTAATTAAAATTTTGGCTCGTATTTGATTTGTGCTAGGCTTATTAATGAGCTCACAAGCTCTACCCGAGCTCGGCTCATCAATTAGCTCGTGAGAGTGACTTGAGCTCATGTTTCATATCGTTGAGTTCATAATCTTTAATTGTTCATATCATGTTATCTAATAGTAATTAGTATCTAATGTGGACAAAGGAGCCCTGGGGAGCCGGGCCGAATTCCAAAGGAGAAGGAGAGCATGCGATGGGAAGGCAGTTGCAGCGACCCGGGATTTTTGGAAGGAATTCTCCGACCGGAGAAACGAGGAAGAGATCGGGGAAAAGCAGGCAGGGGAAAAGCCCGGTCTGTAACCCAAAATACTCGACCGGGTATTTTGACCGGGTTCCGGGCTGACTAGCGGGATTTGGAGTTTTTGAGTTGTTTTAATTACTTTAATTGCCCAGACCTATATAAAGGTTGGAAATCGGTTTTTAGGGTTAGTTTTTAGTAGAATATTGATTTTACCTTGCATTTGAGTTTGAAGTTTGAACTTTTCTCTGTATCAATCAAGTTTTCCCCTTGATTGTGGTCAGGATTCTATCTTTTATATTGATTGAGTCTTCTCCCATCTTGTGTTAAGATTGCACTTTCAATTTCATCATATCCCAATCAAACAAAAACCCTTAAACATCTCTTTTCATGTTCGTTCTTGGAGCTGTGTACTTTGATAACTACGGGTACAGGTTCCGTGCTTGTATCAGGTGGTATCAGAGACTCGTTCAACACAATGGTTGGATCGAAAGTGAGAGGACATGTTGCTTGTCGAACGAGGTCCAAATATTCGATTTCATAACGCAGAGAAGAGGAAGAATCGCTCGTTGAAGAAGAAAGCTCAATCGAAGAACAAGACATGGGAGAGGAGAGTCAGGATCTTGCAGAAGCCATGAAGTTGCTTGCCGCGCAGATGGCGCATATGGGAGTTTTGCTTCAGAACCAGTAGGATGCTACCAAAGGTCAGCTGGTTGTAGGGGTGGTAATCGGTCGGTTAACGGTATACCGAAAATCTGTGTGGGGCTGCCGACTACCGAACCGGTTTCCCTGTCGGTTAAGTGCTAACCGGTTAGACGGTTACCGGTTAGAAACCGGTTATCCGAGTAACCGTGCGAGAGATGGGGGAGAATAAATCAACACTACTCGGCTCCTCTGCTGCACGATAAGGAAGGAACAACTCTCCAATTCCTCTGCTCGAGCTTCCCGACCTGTTAACAGTTTACATAAACAATTCCACAATTTCAATTCAACCCCTAACCTAAATTCGGCTAACTCAAACAATTTAAATCAAATTTCTAACTTGCTCTAACCTAAGATGGAGACAGAGAGGAGTAGAGGATGAAGAGAAGTGATCGACGAAGGAGGAGCCACATTTGAGGCGGGGGTCGGGTTGGCGAAGACTGGCCTCGATTTACCCTTACCGCCGCCGCAGCACATCTCGTCTACTACTACCGCCGTCGCGCCAAGCGACGGTGAGACGATAGCCGACCAAGCGACAACGGCGGGGAGAAATCAATCGTCGGGGGAAATCAATCGTCGCATGCAATCGCCTCGATCCGGGAGAATCAATCGTTGGGAGAAAGAACAGACGCATGCAATCGCCTCTGGGAAAATCAACCCCCGTGGGAAGAACCGCCGCATGCAATCGCCTCTGGAAAAATCGACCCCTGTGGGAAGAACCGTCACCATGGAAGTCGATTAGAACTTAGAAGAGATAGTTTGGCATATGCAGAGGCGCCAATACATGGAGCCGGAGCAATCCTTATCCAGAGCATCAAACCAGAGCCGCAAACCGAGAGGGTCCCCGAGCATATCGAGTGTACTAGGCTTTTCCTGAGACCCCAAATTGGCATATGCAGAGGCGCCAATACATGGAGCAACGTCGTCTGGTAATCCCACAGTATAGACCTCCAATTAATGATTATGAGAATGATTATAATGAGTATGAAGGAAGACCACCAGAAGCAGGAGGTTATGGCGTTGAACCGATTCGAGGGATTAAGCTCTCAATCCCATCATTTCAAGGCACTGATAGTGCACCGGCTTACCTCGACTGGGAGAGGAAGATGATTATGTTTTTCTAGTGCAATCCTTATCCAGAGCATCAGAAGGAGACAAGCCAGCTGCCAAAAACACAACACCTGTCATTCAAGCCAGAAATGAAGGCTCAACTGGAAGCATCCAATGCTTCAAGTGCTTTGGTCGAGGCCACAAGGCTAACTAGTGCCCCAACAAGAAGGCTCTTTTCTTGCGAGATGGAGAGTACTTTTCTGAGGAGGAGTATGAAGAGAAGCCCATGGGAAATGGATTCAACTCTTATATTAATTCTGAAGATGGTGATGTGGATGAGCACATCAAAACTAAGAAACCTTCAACAGGTAAGCTTCTTGGAGTGAACCGCAGAGCTCTATCTATTGAGGCTTATACAGAGACGAGCTGAGGGATAATTGATAACGTCATATTCTAACATGTTTTCCCCGTCATTTCTTGACCGTTTGAGCTTTGTTTCTCGCTCTCGTGTCCTGTTTTACGCTTGTGTGTGTTAGTTTATGATGTTTCGGGACTTAGTACGTGAATGGGCGCGAAGGAGCGAAGTTTAGGGACATTTTGGAGCGAGTGGGCAGTTCGATCCTGGGAGTTACGGCCAGACCTTACAAGTTACGGTCGGGCCCGTAACTTCCAAGAGGAGTCGTAAGTTGCAAGTGGAGAACGAAGAGTTCCAGGAGGCTTCTTTGAGTTACGGGCTGGCCTTCCAAGTTCGGCCAAGGTCGTAACTCAGCCTTTGCATCCGTAACTCCTGGGAAGTGTCGACATCAGTCCATAAGCATCTTTGGAGTTACGGTCTCCCTCTTCAAGTTACGGTCGGGACCGTAACTCTTTGTTTACGAAGTGCAACAATGACGTCTTTCTTCCTCAAGTTACGGGTGGTCAAGGTGAGTTACTGTCGTAACTTAGGCCGTAACTCGCGAATTCTCGGCCTATTTAAAGGGTGCTCGGGAAATTTGCAAAGGATCCGGATTTTTAGACTTCTAAAGGCATAAAAAGAGCCCTAGAGAAAGTGACGAAGAGAAACCCTTGGGCAAGGATTGGAGCGATCTAAAGACCTCGGAGCTTGATTCCCCAACCTCGGAGTATCAATTAGCCGCCAGGATCAGTTGTCGTTCTGATGATGTCTACTTCGAGCATGACGTTCTCACATCTCTCCATGGAGTAATTGTCGCCAAGATATAATGTGATTATAATCTAAAATCTCTTACATACGCCTACAGTTATTGTGGTAATATGTAGTTATATTAACTTATAAAGAAACTAACATTCTGGTTATAGTGCATTTGTCTTAGAGTTGATGTGGGCTTTTTTGTATGGGCTTACGGCCTGTTTTTATTAGACACTCTAATCAAGTAGCCACACAAGAACCCTAGATAGGGTGCGCCGGCAGATCTGTTTTCTCACCGCGCGCTGCTCTTCGCTAGCAGGTTTGTTCGGTCGATCTTTAGTCCCTACGATCTCTTATCATCCCTATACATCCGCCCAACAAGGCAATGCAGGTGTCGCAACCAGGTCCGTTTACTATAAACGTGTTGTGTAAAAGCCATGTTGAAGCTGTTGTGCGAACGTCCAAAACCCCCAGGAATTCGAACCGACTATTTTGGTCGTGCCCCAATTACAAATCCCCGGTATGTTAATTAATTGTAGAGAATAATTGTGTTTTGTTGTTTTGATGTTTTTGACCGTTGATTAGTTTTTGTATTGACTTATCACTAATATTAATCCATACGTAAGCATTTTTATGTTTGTCTTGTGGCGTGTAAACACACATTCCAGTTTGGAAAGTGGTGTGATTGCTTCGAATGGTGTGACCTCCTCAGCCTTCAAGACATCGAGCTTTATAAGCAAAGGATCGCCGGCTGGAGCAGCGAGTTGCTATTCTGGAGGAGGACAACCATCGCCTTCTTAATGAACTCCAAACTCAAGGTGACAATGGTCATTCACAGCAACAATCGAATACTGGGACTCAGGATTGTTTTGTAACTGTTGATGTTGATGTAGTACGAGGAGAATCGTCTACCGTAGCCACCATGATCAGTCGCTTAACCATTAACTAGTTATAGTTAGTTTGTGTATCTTGTTCTGACTAGTGCTAATAAGAAGTAGTGTCTTATGTAATTTTTCCGTTCTTAATCTTGTTCTACATGTACCAAATATTTGTCTGTTTGATGGACAACCTCTTTGTCTAACCTTCTAATCAGTTTCGTGATCTAATATTGAATTACCTTATGTAGTTCATCGCCCTGAATGATTATCCAAATGTCGCGTAAAGTCCTTACTTATTTTATATTCACTGATAGAGAAAATTATATTCATGTTGAGAATATGATAGTAAAATTATGAGAATATGATTTTTTTTTTTTTTTATACTTAGATCAAATTTTCATTAAGAACAGGCAACCAATAGCAAAAAAACTATGGCGCTCCTCAGAACAGCAATCTGTACAAGTCAGCAAAGCAAATAAAATCTACCCCAAGCCTCTAGCAATGAAACACTCTACCAAGCTCTGATCGAGCATACAACGATACTCAATTGCCCACTTAGCCTGCAAAATTATCTTTCTTGGAGAACAAGCACCATGCAGTCCATACATCCTAGAACACCTCTCCCTCCATACCAAACTCAACACAACACTCCATGACAGCCTATTTAGACGCACAGAAGCAGACTTCCCCTTCCATCTGGTAATACACCATTGCAATACTTGAGGCCAATCCACAAGGGAAGGTGGAACAGCACTCCTGAGAATTTCATCAAGCACATACCTTGTATAAGAGCACTCTACAAATAGATGGTGCCGAGTT